TCTCTGAGCCAGCTCTCTTGATCCCCTGTGTGTTTCAATAAAAATGTCATTACTAGAAGCCATTGACACTGCTGGTGTGTGACACCAAATTCTACCGCCTATTGTCCCAGAAAACGATCCATTAGCGATAAAGCCAGCGGCCCAATAGTCTCCACCCTGGGAGCAGCCTCCCCCTTTCCGGCTGGTGCTATCTTCGCTATCTGTGTCTGCCCCACTGTGCAGGCGATAAGAGATGTGATTCCCTAGTGGGAAGGGCTGGCCTCACTCAGTGCCAGCCAGGCCAGGTGCTTCCTCACTGAAGGCCTCTTTAGATCAGGTGAACCAACCCCCCTTTTGCAGCAGTGGTCAAATTGGGGTACACAGAAGCTGTCCCTCGCGGAGCTGCTTGCAGCCCCAGGTGCCTTCCCCATGTTTGTCAGATCCTCTGTGGCATCCTTTCCATTTGGTGGCCAGTGGGTTTTCACAGTCCATTTGTCAGTCTGCCTGGCCACCCAGAGTCCAGAGTTCGGGGGCAGCTTGGACACCTGTTTGTCCAGGTTTTGCTCTGACATGCGGAGTCCTTCCTTTTGTGACTCAGCTGCAGGGACCTCTTGTTTGGTCACACCAGGATGTCCCCTGTGCTCACTTTCTAGGGTTTCCCAGGCTGTGCCAGGGCTGTGGGAGTCACCCTTGCCAGCTTTTGCCAGTGACCACAGGACTCAAGGACCTTGGGGGAGGGAGTGTGTCTACCACTCTAGTCTGCATTCCTGTTTCTGGGGACACAGAGGACAGGTCACTCTTGGAGTCCACAGTATTGGTTTAACTTCTGAGGTCCTGCCTGCAGATTCTGAGCATTTTCTAGCAGCCCCATTCTAGTGTTGGGAGTCCACATGTGCTAGCTAGCTCTCAGCCTGCTCCCTCCTGTCATTCCTTGAGCACTCCTGTCTCGTGCCTTCTGTAGTTCACTGGCTAGTGTTTCCAGCGTGGAGCTGGGGAGGTTGTCTGTGATGGGTTACTCACCTTGCTCCCACTGACCACTTACTTCTTCAGGGTCTCCCTTTCACTACTGTAGGAACACTTGAGAACGCAGTCCTTGCTGTCTGAAGGCTTTTATGTGGAGTGGTCTGCTGTTTCGTTTCGTTTTGTTTTATTTTGTTTTGAGATAAGGTCTTTCTGCATAGCCCTGGCTAGCCTGGAACTTCCTACGTCACTATGTAGACCAGGCCAGCCTCAAACTCACAGAGCTCCACCTGCCTCTCGAGTGATGGGGTTATAGGTGTGTGCCACCGTATCTGGCTGGCTAGGTGTTCTGTGTGGAGTTTTGGCTGGAACAATTTTCTAGGCAGCCCTGGGAGTCAGTTCTCTGGTGCAGTTCCTCACTGTGGGGGCTGGCCTGTCACTTTACATGCCCCTGTTGGCAATATGGTTTTCTGTTTGTCCTTCCTTTCTCTTCCACTAAGAAATCTCTGCCAGCACCCTAAAGGGGCTTTGTGTCTGAGGGTGGCCATGGCAGATTGGTTGTTGGGGCCCTGAAGAGCCACTGCAGTTGAATCTACAATAGCACCCTGGGTGTGTGTATATGTCTGTCTGTCTGTCTCTGTGTATCTGTGTGTGTGCATGTTTGTACATTCCTGCCAGGGGTCTTCATGTGGCACTTGGCCTGGTGTCTATGGCAGGAAGAGTTGCCCTGTCCCTTCTCTCTGGATCTGTGTGAGTTGTTCCTTCCTGCCCGGTGCTGCATAGGCACTGTGGAATCAACTCCCTCATCCTCAGCAGTGGGCACTGTATAAGGCATCTGCATCGCCAGCTGCTTGGCACTCAGCCTTAGTGTTGTCATAGTCTTGAGCTCAGCCAGATGCTCTCCTGTCCCCAGCTCCAAGCCAGCACTGGGGACTGAGCACAACGGTCCCCACAGGGCCTTTGAGTTTGAGGCTCAGATGGGGCTAAAGGCCTGGAAAAGCACCTCACCAGACAGAGACTGCCAAGGCCAAAGGCTTTGGGCACATTAGGGCAGCTGGGATGCATGCCCTGTGGCTCACTGTCACCCAGTTGACAGGCTCCTGTGCAGGCCTGCTCCTACCAAGCCTGTGCCCCTTCCTGACACAGTCGTTTAGTTTTTAACTGGTGAGGCTTTTTTGCTTATTTATTTTCATTGTTCTTGATAATAATTCTGAGCCATTAGAGGGGAAAATTATATTCAGAAAGGCTGTTTCTTGCTTTATTTGTTTGATGATTTAGAGCGATAGAGAGCAGCGCGTACGCTGGCTTTTATAGTCTGGTAATTATTCACATCCATCAGCCCTTCCGGGGGATAAACAGAACACCGCGGAAATTGCACTATTAATAGCGGCCTCCTCTGAGGGCGGGAGGCAGGCAGGAGGGCAGGAAGAGAGACCCGTGCATCCACAGAGGCCTCTTTATCCTATTGCACCAGGGCTCAGCTGCCTCTTCCACCCACAGGGCTGGAGACCCACAGCACCGAGGCCTTAAGATCCCTTCCCCCTTACTTGAAACCTGTACTGTACCATTAGAACTATGTGCCATGTGTCCCCCAATGGTCCTGCACCACGCAGCACCATAAAGCTGGGCACAGAGTTCACATCCCCTAGCTTTCCTCGTGTCGAAGCACCTGGTGCTGCTGTGTCTCCAGTTTGTCCCAGACCAACTTTGCCCACGTGGGGCGCCCACCCTCCCCATGTGGCTCAGTCATTCCCCAGGATCAGCTGTGAGGCCTGGACCCTGTGATGTGAGCTGTGATGGCGGCAGACAGGGATGAGTCACCGCTTTTGCCCCTAGCACAGGTTTGTAGGTTTAGTTTTGGGTTTGGGAAGGACAGAACTTGCCTTAGGTTAAAGAGCCAGATCAGCTATCCTGTTCTTTCTGAAACCCCATCTGTTGCTTCGTTCTAGAACCTTCTGTCTGAACTCACCCTTGCCCTGCCACATGCCTGTTTCCCATGGTTTTATAACCACTAACACATGGGAGAGTGGCCATGACCAGTGCCTCTCTCAGGTCTGCGTCTGGAGTAGTTGGCCCTCTCCCTGAAGCCTCTGGTCCTCTCCTCTATACCTGGGTTTGTCTCCCAGAGCTCCCTCAGTACCATACCTCCCGTGCAGGTATAGAGTTGCTGTCTCCCCCCTGGCCAGTGCAGAGTCCCCCAGTGCTGTTGCCAGGGAGACCAAATCCATGAAGCATGCTGGAGACAGAGGAGAGGGCTGTCTCTGCTGTAGCTCTCCCGGACCGAAGAGGCTTTAGAACATGGAGGCGGAGGCGGGGCCAGGGGACTGTGCGGACAATTCTGAGGGATGCAGTCTGCCTGACATGTAGTCTCCTAGGAGGAGCGCCAGGGCCTTGAGTGGCCTGCCTGGTGCCCAAAGGCTTTCTATAGCCCATGAACAGTTCTCTGGACTCTGTACCCAGCCCAGGGCAGCCCAGCCCACTGGAAGCTTCTCTACCATGCTGAAGTACCCCAGGACTTGCTTGGTCTAGTCAAGTATAGGCCTCTTGGCTATTATTGGGAACAAGGACAGTTCTGGTGGAGCAGGGGCCAAGGCACACGGGTCTGCTGAGCACACAGGATCCGAGGATGTGTGTGTCTGTGCACGTTGGTGTAGATGGGGAGGGAGGAGGTGTGCAAGCAGTGGCCAGAGCTGACACAGAAGAGAGCTTGAGCAGTCCGCAACAGTGACCACTGCCCGGGACCAGTGTGGGTGCTGTCTGGGCACAGCGGCCATAGCGTGGAAGGTTGGTGCTGGAGGGAGGTTGACTTTATGATGGAGGCACCTGCCTTCGCTGAAGGTCGGGAATGGAGTCACAGTGCGGAGAGGCGGCTCTTGATCCTCTGCAGTGCTGTTGCATGGTTCCCAGCCTGGGTTGCCCTTGGCAAGCTGAGCCTGTGTGTCATTGATGCCCCAGCATGGTGCAGGCCTGCAGCGAAGGCTTAGTTCTCGTGAGTGTAGATGTTGGGGCCTACTGAGGCTCTGCTTTGGGAACCCCACAGGATCCAGGGGAAGCTTGGCTATGTACTTGGCTGCAGCCACCCGGAGCTGTCCTTCAAGATGGGCCTGGCCACCCTGGTTTCTGCAGCCTTCTCCAGGCTCAGTGCTGGGCCCTCACCCTGGTGGCCTTAGCCTGCGCCTGGGTGGTGGGTGGGCACGTTCTCTGGCCTCATGTGGCTGCAGCAAAGCACAGAGGTTCCCATCCCGCTTCTCCCTGCCACGGGTCCACAGGCTCATCTCCCCAGGGCCATCCTTTTGCACCCCTGGCCAGCGGTCTGCAGGCTGCACTTCCCGATAACGCCAGGCGTGTTCCAATGTATTAAACTTCCAGCAGCCACCAGATTCAATTAATCTTATCTTTACAACTCCCAATTACAGGCACTAATTAAGTGGAAGGCGCTGTGGACTGGGGATGCCGCCATTCATCATTGTGGCCAGAGTTGGGAATTGGTTCCTTTCAGACTTCGGGTGTCTTCCCAGAAGCCTGCCTCCCCACCTCCCACCCCCATTCTGGGGGCTGCTGGCCTCCATCACAGTGCTTGGAGCTATGAGAAACTCGGCAGCACTGCATGAGTGATAGACTGTGAAAGGAAGGGTGACCTCAGCTTGTGCAGACATGGAAATTCTGGAGTAACCCTGGAGCAGAGGGTGCCCAGGTTTTCTAGGACCAGTGTCCTGGAGGCACCTGAAAATTCTTTATTGTGTCCTCTGTAGATCTGATGGCAGGGTGGTGGCTGAGTCTCCCACCACGTTTTTATTTCACTGACAGACTCCTCCGTTCTCAGATGCTCTGGCCTGGCTGCTCCTGCATCCTCCTCTTGCCTCTGGGCCCTGCAGGTTGCTGAGCCATCCCCCCCTTCCTACTCCACTCCAGGAGCTCCCTCAGTGTGACAGTCACCATGCTCATTGTCTAGGGTGACTCCCTGCCTTAGGGTTTGGTGGTGGCAGCCCTGTCTGCTATCTGTGGGTACAGACTACGCTGGCCAGAGGTCCTTGGCTCTAATGTGCCCCCTTCTCTCATAGGTACGCCATACCACCGGAGCACGGCAAGCGCCTGGAGCGCCTGGCCATAGGTAGGTATCTGAGCCCCTGCTCAGCCCAGGTGGGAAAGGGACAAAGATGAGATGGGCAGGTGGCCCGTCCAGGTGAATCTTACTGTGCCTGTCTTCTGGTCTCTCCCCTGATGCAACATGACTCACTGTCCTTCTGCCTGGATATCTGAGTGAACATTATGTCATCGTATCCAGCTCTCTCTTTATCTCACCATGCTCTGCTTGGGGTGAAACCTAGGGCCTCATGCATGCTGGCCAGGTGCTCTGCTGCTGAGCCATTCCAAGCTATGCTGGGTTTTCTTTCCTTGGCTTTTTGAGACGGGGTTTAGCTAAATTTCCCAGGCCAGTCTTGAACTCATTTTACAGCCCATGCTAGCCTTGAACTTATAATCCTCCTGCCTCAGCTTCCCAAGTGCTGGGATGACAGGCCTGTGCTACCGTTCCCAGATCATCCGTTCCTTTGTCAGATGTAACTTTGTGTATGGGTACCTAGAGACCCACACATTGGGAGCACCATGAGTCCTGACTACCTGAAAGGTCTTTCTGTCCTCTGTCATCCCTAGAGCAGCCCTGACAGATGCCCCATCTCTGGGAACAAGAGGCTAGCCAGGGAACAAGAGGGACTGGTTGGGCACATAGCTTCTGATGGCTTTGGGAGGCAGGTGGGTTGACAGCAGCTCCGGCCTTTCCCATCAATTGCTTCTTAGCTGTGCAGCCCTCAGGAAGTTTAACTGGGGTCCTGCAGGGCCCAGCTACTGGAAACCCGCAGCTGCAGACAGCGCCCTAGACTTCGCCCACTGTGGTGTTCGCAGTGTGTTACTTGAGCGTGGCAGCTAAGGCAGGTCTGGCCACTGCGCTGCTTCCTGGGGCCACTGTGCCCACAAGCAACCTCAGCTTCCATAGACAGCCTCCACAGCTCAGATCCTAAGACCACAGGCACAGCAGGTGTCCTGGGAGTCCTGCAGCCTACTACCATCAAGAGGCAGAGGCAGGTGGATCTCTGTGTGAGTTGAAGGTCCTCCTGGTCTACACAGTGAGTTAAGGTTAGCCAGAACCACATAGTGAGACCCTGCCTCCAAAAACAGAGAAAAGAACAATCCACCCTGTCCACATAGTCCCCAGCAGGGTGGAAAAGCTCCCTGGAACCAGAGGATGGACTGAGCAGTCTACCCAGGGAAGGGTGAGGATCGAACAGGGAGACAGGGTGCATGACACAGTAGTGTCTGTAGGAGGCCACATGCAGCTCCCCTGTAACGCTGGTCTTTGTAGCCCGACACCTTCTTTGGGCATGTGCCACTGATGCCACCCATGGCGGAGCCGGGTGGAGTGGGCTCACGGTTAGCACAGAGAATGAATGGCTGAGCCGTAAATGGGCTTACAGAGAGAAGCGCCCGCGGGAGAGCACTAATGTGGGGCGCTAATCACTTCAGATATGAACCTTTATTAAGGCCCTAATGAGAGCCACTTAAGCCGTGCATTAAAAGGGGGGGCGTGCGGCTGGCAGCGGCAGTCATAATTTTAACCAAGGCGCTTTTAGCAACAAGGAAGGAAAGTTGAGGACTCAGCCCTTGTCCTCTCTGGAGCCTGCTCTTCGAGCTTAGCCTCCTGCCAGCAGCCAGGGCCTCTAAGCCCTGCTCGCCATGTGCCCCGTACAGATGTCTGTGGGTATGCACACACATGAACATGTGCTCTTGAAGTAGAGACCTACCAGGGCGGGGCATGCTGGCCTGGAGGCTGGGCGATTGTGCGGGGTTCTGGAAGGGTCCTTAGACTGAGGCTGTGGGTCAGTTCTGCTTTGCTCCCAGCAGGCTTCTGTGACCCTCACTGTGGTGGGGTGTGCGCGTTTGCTCTGAGGGTGCACATGACAGTGTCGTGTGGTGAGCAGCTAGTCTAGGAGCTGGATATGCCCTGTGCTGCCTGTCTTGGCCGCTGTAGTGCTGCTGGCTTTGAGGGGGTATGGCTGAACCCCAGCCTGCCCTGGCCTTCTGAAGGATGATCTCTCCATAGTGGGAACTGTGGTCCTCAAGGAGCTCAGGATTCCAGGCCATGGCTGGAGACAGTGGCCCTGTCTGCCTGGGGAAGCGAGGGCACCCTGGTGGGAACATAGGCTGCTCCCTGTGCTGAGGTCACCTGTGTCCTGGGGCCTCATTCTCTCCTCTGTGGACTGCTGAGGTGCTGGTACCGGGAGGCTGTGCACGGCTGTTCACCTGTATTGTCTCCTAGTGGTGACCTTGAGTCTCAGCCTTGGTCTTCTGAGCTTCCCATACCCTTCAGGGAGGTGCTGAATGCTGCCAGCTCTCCATGCCCATCTGTATGGTGCTGAGATGCTGGCTCACGTCACATCAGTGACTGTCCTGCTGAACAGAGTAGACTTTGCCTACGAGCTGGCAGGAGGACTTTGCCTAGGACTGGCAGTTGCCAGTCACAGGAGTAACAGCTGCTTTTGTCTCCCACAATGTTGGGCAGCGACATGCTGTAACCCATTTCACCGAGCCCAGGGCTGCGGCACTGGCCTGAGACCTGTCTGAGCTGTTCCCCAGGACCAGGCCACCAACCCCAAGCCCCACCCTGACACTGCTCTCTTCCACCCCAGGCTTCTTCCCTGGGAGCTCGCAGGGCTGCGATGCTTTCCTGAGGCACAAGATGACACTCATCTCGCCCATCATCCTGAAGAAGTATGGCATCCCCTTCAGCCGGGTATGTACAGGCCCCAGAGAAGGTTCTGCAATGGTGACCAACTGGTCTTGGAAGGTGACCTGGTTCTTCTGCAGAGGAAGTGGATGAGGGCACAGGGCAAGTTTGGCAGGGCCTTTGCTGTTCCCGAACCACACAGAGCCCTTTGCCTAAGTACAGGTCTCTTACTGGCCAGGCCACACCTTCTGTTAGCTGCTTATGGTGAACAGGGTGGCTGGGCCCTGAGTGAAGGTGCTGCTTAGCACTCTTGAGCTTGGAGCCTCAGCCCATCCTGTGTGTGGCTATAAAGGCTGTGCCAGATAAGGTCTGATCTGGGAGAGGCAGCCTTGTGGCAGCTGCTGGGGGTGCTGGGGACGGGCAAGCACTTTAAGTTTGCAGACCCAGGCCCTTAGGTTTCTCCGTGCACTGTGGGGCACATCTCAGCAGGGAAGGCCAGCCTAACTGGTGTATGTCGGTGCAGTGCAAGCCTGTGTGCCCTGGGGACCAGGGATGGAGAGGGACATCAGGACAGCTGTTTCTGAAGGTCTCTTTGAAGAGCAATTTGTCAGCCCAGGAGCGAGTTCTGTGATGAGACCCCTCGCTCTGTGCTTACATGGGGTGTCAGAGTGTTGGAAATTGCTCCTGACATTTCAATCAAGGCACCCACAGCATCTGACTGTGTTCTTCCTGCTGGTGCAGCCCGGAGGCTGCTCCTGGCTATTGCTCTGAGGAGCACAGATCCCCCTGCCAGATGGCAGCATCGTCACTTGTGGAAGTGAGAAGTGTCTGCTCTGTAACTGGCTTGTGGAGGTTTTCTAGGCTGGTGCTTCATGCACTCCATGGACAGAGTGACTGCCTGGACCTTTTCTCCTGGGCAGTGTCTCAAAAGTGCTGTGGATTGCACATCCGGTACCCAGCCGGCCTGCGTCCAGACTCAGAGAGGCTGCTGAATTCTGACGGCCACACTGTCTCCACTGCTGTGGTGGGTGCCCTGGGCCTGGCTGGCTCCAAAGGCTTGTGACCCTTGTCTGGCATTAGAAGGCATCTCCCCTGCCTTGGGATGGGGCCTAAGGAAAGAGCAACAGGCGAGAAATGAGCATCGCCTTCCAAGTGAGGTGTGAGTCCCCTCATCGGAATTCCTGTCACCCTTGAGATGAGCAGCTGCACACTGCACTCGTGAGTCTGTAATGGTATTTACTTTTAGAAGGGAAAGCTGATCAATAGCCGGCTCGTTAATAATTAAGAGTGTGTATTTCTGTAATCTGCCATCGACTTCCTCATCTGTTCTGCTGAAGCGGCTCCCACTTTCTCCCTGACTGGCGCCGGCCCCGGCTTCCATGGCTCTGCCGCACAACCATCCATCATTTGACGCCTCCTGATTTATCCTTGGGCTCTGTTGAGCAGTGAGGAGGAAGGCAGCTACAGGACTTAGCAGCATCTGGGACACAGGCTGTGACAGGAGCGTGGTTCTGTTGCCACTCTGAGCAAGACTTTCTCCTGTCTGGTGTCGGCCCATGTCTGCATCCTCGCTGTTGGCCTCGGCCTATGTGGTGTGCTGCACCCCAGAAGGCTGAATGGACAGCTCCTGCCCAGCGTGTGCTGTACTGTGAATGCTGGATGTCGTGGAGAGGACCAACCGTGGACCCGTATCACCACTGCTGTCCACAGAGACATTTGTTAAAGCTCCGGGCCTTCCTTTCCCTCTTAGAGCTCAAGGTGAAGTAGCTGAGGTTCCTGGAGGAGCCATGACTGCCAGGACTGAGGGACATGGGTCACATTCCACCACCCCGAATACCACCTCCCTTCTTTCTGCCATGAGCAGCTGTCACTTGGGCAGGAATTTTAAAACATAATGCTGCTGCCACTGACTTCCCCTTAATTGGTGCAATTAATTATTTGAAAAGAAAAATACTGGCGAATTCTCCAGGGCTGGCTGCGCTCCAGGCCATGTTAGTTTTGATGGAGTTTATCCGAGTGGTTGGTGCTGCAAGTCCCACCTTGGTGTCCACTCTACCCTCTCTAGCATTACCAAGAGTAATCCAGTGACATGGGCCAGGTGGCCTGTGGGGGACACACAGTCCAGCTGCCCAGAGCGAGGTGTTGGGAGGGGAGGTAGAGGAGTGATTATTGTGACTTAGGATGCTTAAAAAAGAGGAGACACTGAATACCTTCTCAGTATTCTCTGCATCAGTGAGCCACTGTGGCAGGCAGCTGGGGTGCTGCCATCCAGTGGGGCCATCTGTGGAGGCTCAGAAGCCCTGGGCCGGTCACTCTCCTGTGAGCTTGAGTACCACCAGAGCACAGACTTTGAGAAGCCAGGGTCCTCCCTGAGGCTTTGGAACCTTCCTCCTTTGTTGGTGCTTGCCAAGCTCAGAATGTCAGACATGTGTGCTCGTCAAGCCTTCCTGCCTATTCAATGGGCAGTGAGGACCCAGCTCTCAGAGCTCACAGAGAGGGGCCCCTTCCTTCTGGAGCCTCAGTTTCCCATCACAGATGAGGCTCTGTCCCTCCTCCCAGCAGCATGTGTCCTCCGGTCACTCTGATCTGCCTCTGTTTTGGGGCCTGAGGTCTGTGCAGGTCAGCAGCTATTCCGTAGTGTTCTTGGAGGCGCCAGTGCTGTCCTCAACACAGAGGGCTGGTCTGTCCCTGCCTCACGGAGAGCCTTCCATGTGCCAGTGGCGTCATGCAGGGCATCTCTCCTCAAGAGTTCACTATGCGAGTGCTCCGGCCTGACTTCAGCGGGTGTGGCTGTGGTAGCCCACGACCCGCTGATATGCCATGGGTGGATGACCGTCCCCTTGGGCTGCGTGGGATGGCCAGGCCATGTTGGCCACGGTGCAGAATGGGGCCGTGCTTCTTGCCCTGTGTCCTTTGGTGAGTGCTAGAGCCAGGTCTTTCCATGCAGTCCAGCCCAGTCTCAGACTCATGATCCTTGTGCTGTAGCCACCAAGGGCTGCCATGACTGTGTGTTCCACCACAGCAGCTTTACCCCGTGCTTGCTTGGTGTTTGAGACAGGGTGTCACTGTGTAGACCAAACTAGCCTGGAGCTCAGAGAGGTCCACCGCCTCTGAGTGCTGGGATTAAAGGCTTGCACCAGCATGCCCAGCTTTCTTCTTAGAGAACTGTTTATGAGACTGTGTGGGTGTGAGTGCTAGAGCATGCATGCTGAGGGCAGAGGAGAGCCCCTGGAAGTCAGGCATGTGTCCTCTCCTCCCACTGTGTGGGACCTGGGGATGGAACCCGCCCGGGGTGTCAGGCTTGGCAGCAAATGCCAAATGCCACTAAAGAGTGCTGAGCTGTCTCACCAGGCCTCACCCACATTCTTTTTGAACCTGGCAGGATCCCACAGTTTCCTGAGCTTTGTGCCCCTACTGAACCCACCAGGTCATGAAAGGGCTTTCGAAGCTATGGGCCATCTGCAAGCCCGTATCCATCCCTCCTGAGCTTCATCACTCTCCTCTGTAGATTACCCAGGAAGCCGGGGAGTTCATGATCACATTCCCTTATGGTTACCACGCGGGCTTCAACCACGGCTTCAACTGCGCTGAATCTACTAACTTTGCCACTCTACGCTGGATTGACTACGGCAAAGTGGCCACGCAGGTAGGTGCAGTGGTCACCTCAGTTTAGGGGGTGGGTGGAGATAGCCCTGCACCTGGGTGCACCCCAGATGCTGGCACCGCTCACAGAGGTGTTTCTGGGCTCTGTCTTCTTCAAGGAGCCCCATCTCTGCTGGGACCATCTCTTCACGGCAGTGCTGCTCTGCTCTTGGCCCTTGTTGGACCAAGTTACTTATCAGTTTGTTTTCTTCTTGAGACATCAACACAGGCTGGCCTGGCCCTGCCCTGGCCTCCTTAGTGGTGGTATCACAGGCACCCCTGTGCCCAGGACTGGGTCACATGTTGCTCCTTTTTGTGTGCATGTTCGTGGGCACCGTCTTCCACCATCCAGCGTCTCCCTGTGTGGGGCAGGGTCTCCTGGCCATGGCTTCTGGGGCATCCATCAGCCTCCCACTCCATCTCACTGGCATGTGCTAGCCCAGCCACCTCTGTGTGAGTTCTCAGGGTGGGTTTCAGATCATTGGCTGCTTTGACTGTCATTCTGATCCTCCCCTGCTTGCTCGCCACCCTCACTCTACTTCTTGGGGCCGTTGTCTCCTTTTGTTGCTGGCCATGAAGCCAGGGCCTGAGTGCTAGGCAGGTGCTCAACCCATGCAATACGGATCTGGTGATCTGTTGTGGGGTCACTGGGGCCAGTTTTCAGTCTTCGTGAAGCACTGAGTCTGGAGGGAGAGAGGGAAGTGGTATAACCCAGGGTTGGGACCTGCGTCTGCTTTTGATTGGCAGCTTTAATGGCTAGGGCTGGCGGATGGCAGCTGAGATCACTTGCACCTGTGACAGATTGAGCTGTGATGGCAGGGCCTGTGCTCGAAGGGCTGTCTCAGCCGCAGCCACGACAGGAGTGGCCCAGATAGTGAAAGCAATTTCAGGCTCAGCCATGTGTTCACAAACAAGCAACATTTGGGGACTGCCGTCCGCCATGGCGCCATGCTCACATTGTCAGGCAGCATAGCGTGAAATTAGGGAACAAGTGGCCCGAAGCACAGCAGACCAGCCAAGGACAGGGCAGGGTGGCAAGCACCGCACCCCCCACCTGTGCCCAGCTGCCAGGGCAGCTCTAGTGTGGCAGTGCCCACCAGTGAGGGGGTGAGGCCAGGTGAGGGTGGGGCCTCATGGTGGGGACTGGGGACCCAGGACTGCCGCTCCCCAGCAGTGTGTACAACAGAGGAGCTGTGAGGAATGCCATGCCATGCAAGGCAGAATGGGGTCCAAGTCCCAGGGCACCTGGGCAGGGTGAGTCCCCATCTGTCCTCTCTCTCAAGCCCACTATTCACACATGGTGATCATAGTCCCATACCCCTCCTCAGCCTGCATATGCAGGCTGTTCTTTTTGGCTTATCCCCAATCTCCTGGTCTTCACCTGTACTCCCAAGTGCACAGTGGTGGCAGGGAGCTGCAGGGCGCTGCCTCACTCCCTCTCCTGCCCAGTGGCAGAGCAGGTGTCACTTTGTATTTTTAATGCCTGAAGCGGTGCAGAGGAACATGTGGTCCGTGGTAGGCAGTGGAGCTCTACCTGTGTGTCCCTAAGGAACAGAGGAGCCAAAGTGTGGAGTCATCCACCCCTGCCTACAGTGCCAACCCAGGTCCTCTCTGCAGCCTAGCACCCTCTGAGTCTCCCAGAAAAGTGTTTGCTGGCTGCGCAAGTTCACAGGGGCTCAGCCCTGGCCAGCACCGTGAGCATCCCCATGTCTCTTCCTTCATAAGAGACGGGGCAGTGAGCTGGGCCAGCAGACCTGAGGCCCTGGCAGTGGGAGGCAGTGCTCACTCACTGAGCTACAGGCTGGCCTCTGGTCCAGGAACCAGCCCATACTGAGGCCACTGGGGTTTCTAGAGCTACAAGATGCTGCAGGGGACAGGGAGTTTTCTTGATTGTGCACAAATGAACGCAGACTTTGTGGGAGGCTCAGCTGAGGGGAGAGGCCCAGTCTTGGGGCATCTAAGACACCTGGGGCACAGAGTTCTCGGGTCAACTGCACCAACTTGTGGATCGTTGGCAGAAGGCTGTCTCATGAGCCACATCTGCTCTGACCCTTGACTACTTTCTTGGGGCAGGTGCAGTATGATCTCACAGACAGTGATGACGCTGGCCAAGCCTTTCCTGGTAAAAGTAATATACATGCAAAGGGAATATTACACAGCCATCAAAAGAGTTCTCCCATGGAGTTTGTTCCACTTTTACTGGTGTGGAGAGGTAACCTCAGTAGTCTGACTTTAAGAGCAGGTCATGGGCCGTGAGCCTCGTTGCTTCTGTGTGGTACGGGTGTGTGTCCTTTTTTAAATTGGCTGTGTGGAGAGATGGGGACAGCAGAAAAGCTAGTGCTTGCTCCCTCTCCACACGCACGCACGCATGCACGCACACAGACTCCCTCTGACCTTTCCTTCTGTGGTTACAGCAGATGGTTGGAAGTGGTTTTGGTCATGTAGGTACCTTCCCATGGTCTCTTCCAATGTTGCCAGCGGTTTTGTTTGTTTGGGTTTGAGATGATGGTTAAATTGAACCAGATGAGCCATGCACCAGTGGCTGAGGCTTGCCAGCCCCTGGTTCTGTCCCCAGCACCAGAGAAAGCAATCGTGGTGGCACACACCTGCCACCCAGCACTTAGGAGGTAGCGGTAAGAGGACCAGGAGTTCATGGCCATCTGCAATTACATAGTGAGTTTGAGGCCAGCCTGGGCTACATGAGAGGCTTACCTCAAAACTAAACAAAGGCCCACAGACCTGCCTCAGACTTGAGCCCTTGATGGCTCTTTTCCTGCCTTGATGGCATTCATCTTTATAGAGAAGTTCCTGAGCTGTGCCTAGTGCACCCATGGAATCCCAGCACCCAGGGTATATAAGATAAGATTGCCATGCGATTGGTCACAGCCTGGGCTATAGAGAATGACCTTGTCTTGGAAGCAAAGATGAGACAAAGCCGAGAACCCAGAAAGCTCAGAAAGCAGCCCAGCCATGTCACTTTCCCTCCCCCACACAACAAGGGCCCTGAATGAGCTTGGGGCAGGGCTGCCAGTGCCTGGCGGGCCTGGGGTGAATGCCCACCAAGTTTCAGGCATTTCCACATGTTCCCCATAGAGGCGGCTCATTCCCCGCTCCGTGAAGCCAGCACCCTCCATGGAAAGCTCCCCCTGGGCTGACAGACGGGAACAGAGAAACCAGACAACTCTTCCAGTGGTGCACAGCAGGTGCCATGTCCGGCATGCCCTCCCAGTCCCTGGCCTATTCAATAGCCCTGTATACAAATGTAGCGTGAGCCTCTGGGAGTGCTCCAGGACAGCCCTACAGCCTCAGAGTTCCCCAGGTGTGGTGACATGGCGGGCCTGGGGCAGTCTGCCTGCCTGCGCTGTCAGCTTTTGCAGCCGCTGCACAGCTAGGTCACTAACGAGATCAAAAGGGTTCTCCAGCGAAGGGGCGCTGCCTGCACAGCCTCGCTCCTCGCTGGCTGCCGCATCAACCATCGCAAGCGCCACAGGCCACACACAGTGTGGGAAGCTCAGCCTCGGCCGCACACTGCAGGGAGGGGGCCCTTCTTCAAAGGGTCTTGCCACAGCCTCACAGGCTGAGCTGTGATGAGACTGGGGATGATTGAGAGCCTGGCTCAGGCTGCACATCCAGCACAGTGGTTTCTGTCCCCTTTGCAGTCCCTGTGGCTGGATGCCAATCTTCCCAGGAATGCTTGGCATGCCTGAGGAGTAGATGCTGGAGCTAGGAGGCCTTTTACAGAGTTTCGGGTAAGAGTCTGGAGGAGGTGGCCCCTAGTGCTGTGGTGTCGGGCCTTTGTGGGGGTGGCAGGCACTGGGTAGGAAGTGCTGAGAGTAACAAGCAGGTGAGAAGGGACAGCCGTGTCCCCTGCCGTCGGCGACAGAGCTTCCCATGCTGCACACTTAGCTGCAGACTGTAAGGCATGCAGGCGCGATGACGGCCTGGAGTACACTCCCACCTGGCTGCCCTGTTCACCAGCCCTGATTGGTGCTGTAGCAGAGCTGTGTGCACCAGGCTGGCTCCTGTGAGACGTGTTTCTCCTTCGCTCCTTCGCTCCTGTCACATGGCTTCTAGGCCATGCACCCCTGGCCGTATCTCTAAGCACATGAGTGCCTAGAAGGCCACTGGGAGCATGTGTGAGGCTGATTCCACCGTATGTCACAGCTGGCCCGTGACTGGGAGAGGAAGGATGGAAAAAGGTGGCTTAGCGTGGGCTCCCCAGCACTGTACATAGTCTTAGAGTTCTCTGTGGGCTATCCTAGCCTTGCACCCCCATCAGAAGCTCCATAGGGCCTGGTGGCAGTGGTGTTCCCAAGTGTCACTTGAGGCCCTGGCTGAGGAGGTACTTGCTGACTGCTGGCTCCTGCCACTGACTCCCCCATAGGTTCAGGAAAGAGTACATCATGGACACAGACCCTGGATACCCCCACATTGTGTAGTCTGGGCATTGCCACGTGTGCCTCAACTTCTCCACGAGCAAAGTGGGTCTCTAGGGGTTCCCATGTCAAGTGATGTTGGGATGTTCTGGGCTGCCCTGGGAGGCCCCTGGCATGACTGGCCAGGTTTTTGGCTTATGATGGTCACACCGAGGTTCAGACAAAGCAGGACAGGACCCAGGCAAAGAGCAGCATAGGGAGAGAAGACAGGCTAGTGTTGCCAGCTCCCTGCTCACTGTCTCTCCCCTGGTGTCCCTTGCCGCACAGGACAAGTGGCCCCTGTGCCAGGAGGGGGGTGAGGTAGGTGTTGTCACAGATGCAGTCCCACACGACGGGTGTCATGACTGTGGTGTCAGCAGAGGGGTGGGCACGGGCCCCACCAGGTGGCTCTGTGAGCTGGCGCCTGACCGTCCCATGCGCAGGTAGGTCCCTGTCTGTGTCTCCCTAATGAACTGGATGTTGTCGCAATGCTGGTAATCACAGCAGAAATGGGCCAAGCCACAACCAGAGCTGGTGCTTTAAGCCTTAGTGGGCTGGAGCGGCTGGCCCGCAAACAGGCAGCTCTGCA